TCACAAAAACAAAGCTTGTGGGAATAGCCATTTTCTGTACTTTTGAGGCATAAGCCATTAGGAAATAGCACTTACTACCCAGAAACAAAAAAAAGAATGTTTTGTTAGTGTAATAACGCGACGAATGTGCCCATTTAAAGTTACTACGATACATTTCAAATCCATATGGGTAACCTCGAACGATGTAAAACGACTTTTATAAAACTCATTGATCGCAAACAACGCGGGGTTCCAAGAGTCGCCAGCGAGCGTCAACCCATCATGGGCAGCGCATACGCAGAGCGTCCGTTGATTTTTGTTCTTGAGAGGTTTTTTTTGGGGTCAGATCGCGTAAATGTGTGTCATTAATGCCGCCGCATTTATATATTTACGCGATTTAACCCCCCCCCCCAAAAAAAAAAACTCTTTATGGATGATATTGGTCGCGAAAGCCTACGTGTTAACTTAGGATTATCTCACAAAAATGGGACAATCGGTTCAAATATTGCCGTTCATTATTCATACATTTAATTTCTCAGAACCATGTTAGGGCTGGGCGGGGGGGGTTACTCGGTTGAAAACTAAAATTCAACAACGGGGTACAACACAAGTAGCCAACAAAAGGTTGAGAACCACTTCCCCATCAGCCACCTGGAGGGCCTCTCCAGAGTTCCCTCTCCTCAGCCAGCAGTGGAGTCAGCAAGTGATTGCAGGGATGCACATCTACCACTCTCGGTGTATGTACATATTTTGCAAATGCGAGATGTATCGTAGTCTCCCGTAGTATAAAATGCACTTACATTCCCTGCATCCTCAAGCAGAAGTTAGGCTTGCGTCTTATCATCTGGTAGGCGTTCTTATCAGTTTTTTCTTCACTTTTTTTTACTTTATTCTTTTACTTTATTGACACAGCACACATTTTTGGGTGCGTTTTACACTCTGGAGCATCTTATAATCTGGTGAATACGATACATATAGATGCATTTATATATCTCAGAGCGAAAAGCTTTGTAGAAAGTGCGTTGGTCTCGGTTCAAAACAAGCATTCGTTGGAACATTGACCAAAAGCGACTCGTAGCGTATCGAGGCCTAGCTCCTTCAGAGAAGGCGAAACACGTTGCTATGACGACAACATCCGTGTCATTTGCGCCGATCACAAAAAAACCCCGAGGTCGCCGACCTGCATCGTCAACTTCATCAGAGATTTCGCCTTTTCAAGCCTCTCAAGCCATCCACACTTTGGCGTAAGACGCGGTCTCCGCCACCTAGTACCCTGGCATAATTTTTTTACCTACGTGACTTTACCGAAAAAACCTAAGAATATGAATCCTTGCAGTCACGAAAGCTTCAAATCTAGAATTAAGACCAGGGGGCTTTAAGATGGGAGGTGGATTTGGAAGATTCTTTTGAAGCTGACGAATGTCTGCGATTCGCGAAACTCTGGAACGGTCTCCTCCACTGTAAGAATGATAATACATGCCAAAGGCGATTACGAGACGAAAAAGGCTGTCATCTTGACCTCTAGGCTCGATCCTCGCACGACGCCTTGCATGTCACGCGGCATCACCGCCGCGCGGCGCGGATAACGCGCACGCGGCCACGTTTCAGACCAACCATATCGAGAGTTCAAAACAAATCGTCATCGTGAGTTTCATCTTTCTTGGTTCTTTCGGTAAAGTCGCGTAGAAGGGAAATAAAAAAAATAAAAATTTCTTTTTTTATCCCCTTCTACGTGACTTTACCGAAAGAACCAAGAAGATGAATCCCTGCAGTCACGAAAGCTTTAAATGGAAAAAAAAATTCATCGTGAGTTTCTCAACATTTACCTACCGCACATTGCTGGGACTCAACCAACCGGCAAGATGCAGACAACTTGACGCACAAATGGAACGTTCCGAGCTTTCCGCCGCATGACCGGGGTCACCCGGAGCGACCACTGAGCGTATAAACAACAACTCGACGCTCGGTTCACAAATACCAAAGGGGAGGCATCGTCGCAGCGATGCAACCAACTCCCCGACTCCTGACACAATCACTTGGCTCAACCATCGCAATCGCAGTGGCGTAGTAAGGACATTGGCAGCTGGGGGAGGGGGGGGGTGCGGCAATCGGTCGGGGGGGGCCCCAATATTTTGATTCGTCCCGCAGTCGCCAAACGTTACCGAGCTAATTTTATTAAAATAAAACGTGTACCGTAAATGACAGCATTTTCATTGAAAAATATATATATTTAAACCGCGTTTTAAATAAACGTGTTGTTCTTTTGCACCGTTGTTGAAAACATCTCATGGTGGCTGTCAAGGCCCCCCGGCCCCCCCCCCCCAACTCATAGCATTGGCCACAAGGGGGTCACAGTACCCCCTGCCTGCCCCCGTACGAGCTACGCTACTGCCTCGATGTGAAACTATTGCTGTTGCTCTACATCGACATCATAAGCCTTGCAAAGACCGACCGCCCCAGCAAACTTGAGTGTTGCCCCTCGACCAAAGTTTCTGGGCCGAGGAACCCACACGGGCGACATTAAATATTTCCTTCGCCAAATCATCGACGGGCAAAGGTTCACAAATTGGCGGAAAGGACCGCTTATTTCTGATTTTTGGCAGATAAGAGACAAACGTCTACGAGCGTGTAGGTTCTCGCGGTTGATAACGCTACGAAGGTTAAAATGCCACCGATGTGCAAGAAAACTCTTCGGTGTCTTTTTTGTTGTTGCCAATCTTGAACATTGCATCACTACTGCACAGGTCTCCATGCGGTACAGCTCTCCGATGCGTTTCCTGGTCATCCCGGCAAGACGTCCGGGCGAGGGGGGAGGGGTGCGTTTTGCTACACGTGCCAGCGAGCTTCTCCGGGAACTGAACGTCGCTCCCCCAGCACTTTGGGGGCTAAAACGTTGCCGAAGCACCACCACGCTGAGAACAAGACGCGGGGCACACGCATCGGAGAGCCCGGCTAAACCCCGTGCGCTGTTTTTGTAAGATGATGCTAATCTTCTGCTGAATATTGGCACTGTTTTTTTTGCCCCATCTCCCCCTCAAACATATGAAACAGGCCCTGGTTACTTAACCTGCCTTAAACTCCGTGTGCACACGCACACACATACCCACACGTAAATACACATGCACAAGCATTGTAGTCAAAGTTATGAGAATGAGGCGTGGAATGGTGTTTGTTTTCACGCCAGATTTGCAAGGGTGTCCGAGTCACTTTACAAAAGATAAATTTCGTAACATTTTTTTAAGAAGAAAAAAAAAACCACACACGCACACTCCTACTGAAAACAAATAAAACACGGTGATAGACTCCTGCTAAGCAAATCTCATTCAATCTAGAGATCGACGAGACGAAGGGTCCTTCTGGACAAAAAACAATGTTCCGGGCAGCATTGCGACGGAGCAGGCGTAACATCTTGGGCCACGTTTGACATTCAGAGTTCCAGAATTCAAGGTTGGTGGCTGGGGGTCCCATTAAAAACGAATGCTGCTGGGTTGCCCGTTGATACGGGCAAGAATTATCACGTGGTTTTCATTCTTGAACCACAACGATCCGTGAAACTATGCAACTCGTTATCCATGCGTCACGATCACAACTTAAAGAGCGGAACGAGCACCCTCGCACGAAAGGGGGATGGGGGCTCATAATTGCACAATCGCTCCGGTTTTGGTAAACGCGGTACACACGTGAGCCTCGCCGGTTGCTTTTTTTGTCAAGCGCCGCACCTATTTCTGGCCGTGCAGCCCCCGGAGGCGTTATTCGGAGGGGTGGCGGTGGGGGGGGGTACTTCCGAAAATTGAGGTCAACAGGTGAACGTCGCACAGGCCGTGTACAGTTAGCAGCATTGCAACAAACAACAAAAATAAATCGTGCCAAGTTTGGTAAAAGTACAACTGCAGCCAACGGCGGCTCTTTCAGTAATGACCCTCTTGTGCAATCGTACGTTCCCTTTTGTAAAACGTTGCACCGCCCCCACCTCTCCATCCACCGCTCCCCGTTCGTACCAAGTTCGCAACGTTATCGTGACGACGTGACCTGTAATGCGAGCGCGAACGGCAACCCGTGCCAAACGCCAACCCGCGGCGTTACGACTTGAACACGCATCGAACGGGCTTCACGTGCCTCGGCACCCATCAAGAAGGTTGCCTTGTTCAGGAAGTTTGTTCGCTGCGAAAGACGGATCCCATGCGGCCAACCTCATCCAGGTGGTTGGACGGCCACCCGGATAAAGGTTTGCTGTGGCCATATCAGTGACGCAGAGCCCTGCACACCACAGAGGACCTGGGTTTGAGTCCACGTTTCGACAGATCTGAAATCTCTCAACTTTCAGAATTAAAAGTATTCTTCATCGCACGACGATAGCTCTTCGTAGGGCGTAAGAGTGTGCCACCCACGGCGAATACGATTTGCGTTGTAGTGATCTCAAGAGTAATTCTGAAGGCATCATTCAGAGCCATTCTCTCCTGGCACAGGGCGATGCACTGCTCTGTGAACAGTTTAACATAGACATTCATTAGTGTTGTGGCACAGCTCCGAAAACACATCATAAATCCAAGTGTAACAACAAGTTTTATATTATACAGCATATTTACACCGATTAACTAAATCAACATTCCTTTCTTTTTCAGTTGCACATGGTCTACAACACTGTTTAACACAGTCCCCATTCGGACTACACACGGCCATTGATCACCCACGTCAAGTGGTGTGGGGTAACCTTTTTCTTTCTGCCAGTCAAATAGGACCCTCAAATAACTTTGGAGACCAACAACGCGTGAAGGAACACGCGCAAACACACACAAACACCCCCCCCCCCTCTCAGCCACTCTGCCGCAAGAGGCCTCTTGTGCAGGGGACAAATGACTGAGCATTGAAAATCAAACGCACCATTGCCAGGTCGAAAACATTTCGTTTGACTTAACAGTCGTGTGGCCACTGGGGCCGTACAGAAATCAAGTCGTGGGCTGGATCCAGCCCCTTGGAATGTGCGGGTTACCCCACCCCCCACCCCCCCCACGTCAGCCAACCAATCGCGAGCGATCATTTTGCATCATCGCTGCTTCCACGCAAACTCTTCCGACGACGTTTCCCCCCACGCCCCCTCCGAGCGTCGCCACCGATGTGCAAGCGGCGTCGACCGGACGGAGGAGCGGCGTTCGGGAAGGCGCCAGCCTCCTCTGGGAGCCGACGACCTCACTCGGGGTCGACGGCGGCAGCGGCGGCAGGCGGCGGCGTTGTCGTCGTCGGAGGCGCGTGCGGTCGTCTCCTCGCGCCACGCGTTGCTCGCCACGCACAGCGTGAGCCCGACCCCCATCAGCAGCATCCCCAGCAGAGCCCCTGTGGGCGAGGGGGGGGGGGATCCAAACGCCATGCCACGGCACATCACGCCACAGCACGCCACACCACCAGTGCAAATACATTTGGAATTATATAGCGTCCGAATGTGACGGCGTCCCGGCAGTGTGTGTCCTATTTGTTTTTAGAAAGGAGGCAGGCAGGCAGTGGGTCATAGGGCCGTAGTAAAAATTAGGAAGGTCTTGAGCTTGGACTTGAAACAAGGGCTAGGGAATTCACGGCGTGAATGGCCGGGGGTGTGGAGAGTTTCAGACAATTTGGGTAGCGAGAGGAGAACGAGCGACCTCTCACCGAGTTAAAGGTCCACCGACGTACGGCTTCAACAGGCGCCTTGATGGTTGGAGTGGAGAGTGCGCGGACAGGAGCAGAGTGAGACGAGTGGGGAGATTTTGGAGGGCGCGTGGAGTGGATCAGAGTGAGAGGAGAGGGGAGCGGTAGGTCGCGGGGCAAGTCCGTGGAGGATCTTAAAGACCACGAGTGCCACGTTGAAGTGATCCGAGATGGGATTGGAAGCCAGCGGAGCGAGCGCAGAGCGTTGGGGCGACGATGGGCTCTCGTTTATACGGCAGTGGGCGAGCAGTCTGGTAAATTCGGTAGCATTCACAAAAGAAGAGCGGCTGCTTTTGGTTGCAACCTTTTTTTTTATCTCACCCGAAAATAACTGTGGTGCGTGCGTTTTTTGTGGATTTGAGTAATAAAAAAAAATCGTCAATTATTTTTACGTCTCCCATAGGCAGATGGGGGGGGGGGGATGGTGCAATGCATTCCGTGAAACGCACAACGCATTGTGATTGCGATTCATTGTGCGATTCGTGGATATCACTTACGAGACAAAATCTAAATTAACCGATGTTAAAACCCTTTATATATTTTTTTTAAAACGACAAATGTGGCGTCACCAAAGTTGTTATTACTGGGTTCCCTCCACCGCCTCCACCGCCTCCTCCACCGCCTCCTCCGGAGGTCGTGTGAATTCAGTGACGCCCCGTCAGGCAGTTGCGCAGTGGAGTGCACTCACGCGTCCCTCCGATGTTTTCTCCCAGGAGCTTGCCCGTAATGAGCGTGAAGACGAACGTCAGCGAGTTGGTCAAGGGCACGGCCACGGACAGGTCTGTGGGGAGGTGGCCCATCAAGGCAAAGCAACCACGGGGCAGCCGCCAATTTATATACGGCAAACCGTGTTCCAAAATTCGTACACGTTAATACGCGTACGTGCTGTACCGTTGTGAGTTTCTACTTGTTTAAGCAGGTGAGCGTGACTTTTAATCCGCATGGTAGCATCAGTTATGTAAAAAAAAAAATGATATATCATCTTCTTGGTTCTTTCGGTAAAGTCACATAGAATGGAAATAATAAAATAATAATACATAATAAAATAATTCTCACGACGTTTCTTATTATATTTTTATTTTTATTATTTTATTATTTCCATTCTCCGTGACTTTACCGAAAGAACCAAGAAGATGAATCCCTGCAGTCACGAAAGCTTTAAATCGAAATGATACATCATATTTATATTTTTTTCTCTTCAGGTCCGGCCTTCCTTTAATAACAACTTGCTCCGCCCCGGCTAAAGCGATGTCCAGGCGCGACTCACCCGCTGAGCCGAGGGTGAAGTAATACAGCAAGGAGCCACTCTGGTTCAGGACAAACGGGACCATGTACTGTTGAGAGATGCAATACACAACATCCACCACTGAGGTCAGCATCTACACCATCATCACCATCATCGCCGCCGCCAGCATCACACATTCATCGATACAGATCTATCAAGCTCTCATATCTGCGACAGATGTTAGGGGGGGCTCTGAACCAGATATTTGAAAGAAGTGAAGAACCGCAAAAGGAGGTGCAAACATAATTAACAGTAGAACCCAGATAAAAACATTCTAAATGTAAAGTGTGCTAGTCAAAGCAAACGATTGTGAATGTACCAAGTGAAATACTCGATGGTGGGGCAGTCGAATCAAATTAGATCCGGTAAAATCCAGCAGTCAAATTTTCCTCCATTATCCTATCGCGTTTACGCTAGAATTGCACTTGTAAGTAAGTACGTTGGGAATATCTGACAGGAAGGATGCAATTGTCCTGGCATCCTTCGTGGACTGCAGCACCGCAAGACTGAGGGACAGTGACAAGCTTTGGGAGGCCTTCATCTATGATAATAGTATCATTTACTTATTTATCCAGGAAACCCACATAAAGTCACAGGACTTACTTTCAGCAGGATCCTGTATTGGGTTTTTAATTTCAAGGGGTTTTCAGCCAAATTATGAGTTTATAAGCGGGAGGAAACAAAAGTACCCGGAGATAACCCACGTGCGCGAGGGGGAAACGCTCAATCACCGTACAGATGGAAACAGATGGTAATTAGTCCAATTACTGCACCACCTTCTAGCAAGCCTTGGTAGGGCACGACGCCGACAGCAAGAGAGTTTCACAACATCTGGTGCGATGATCCACCGACCCCTCGCTGCTGCCTTCACAGTGCTGGATTATAGGCCGCGTGCGTAGCCACCGCCGCCCGTATCTATCGATGGATACGTCATGGCTGACTGATGACGATAACGGTGGCGAAATCTTGCAGAAACTGTGGTGGCACATCGCGATGGCGTTATGCAAGAGAGTAGAAGAATGGCCGAATCGAATTCGGCAGCCACGTATAAACATCGGGCGGCAAACTCTGTCCCGTACGAAGCCGACCGTGTTTATGGGAGGTGTGGCTTTAGCCCCCTAGCAATTTTGCAGCTGACCACTTACTGTCATGTGACCATTTAACTTGGTGGATTTGAAGTAACCTTCAAGCAAGAATTTCCTATTTTTTGCCAGATCTCACAATTCCCGCACAGGAGTTGTGCAACGCGTTCGGTGGCATTTTAACTGCCACCTGCCCGCGCCCACGGATCTGCTTCTGTGTTTTAGCACCGGCTAGGGAGCGCGGGAGGAAGGAAATGTTTCGACATATTTACTTAACCGTTCGTTTTGTTCGAATGGGTTCAACACATTCGGGCACGTCGGTCAACATGGCTGTAGCAGCAGCAGCAGTTATGGCGTTTGCTTTGAGTAACCGAAATTTCATTTGTTTACTGAAAATATTAACCAGGAAAGGCCACGTGGCCACACACGAGACATCTTATTTTAACAGGTGTGCCTGCAGATGGGTTACTGGCCTTTATGGGTAAATGTTTTACACTCTTCAGCCTTTGATGCGCGCGCAAAGACTCGCACCCCGCGTGAGGCCGACTTATTGCATCTCGTGGCGGATCGCTGCGCTGAACAAAACAGTTCCGCGAATCGGTTTGCAATTTCGAGTTCGCGTTTCAAATCAATGTTTAAAAAAAAAATTTACGGAAGCTGGTTCGTAAGTGCTGGTGTTCGTACGTCGCGGACTGTCTGTATTGGGTGTTTGCACATTTGCTCTACCAGTCTGTTTAAAAAAAAATGTGTTTGCACACATGCTTAGCCTGTCCTTAACTTTGCCTGGCTGCACCCCCATTTACACTACCCTCAAGTTACCCTGTACGGTGGCTGCACTCTCACTTCGGTCCAAATCTTTTTGGTCAGTTCAACTTCGTCACTCCGAATGTGCTTCCGTCTCGCTTCGTCCGTAACATTGGGATGATATCGTCCATTCGCTTCATCGGTCATCATCCACAAGTCGATACCCGTCCCACGTTCGCTTGGTAGATGCGTAGCGTGCGTGTGTAATCTCAGTTTAACACGTAGGCGTTCGCGACCAATGTCATCCATAATACAGGTTTTTTGCGCGCAAGAGGAGCACACAAGCGTTGTCATCGCATCTATGCCTCTATTTAAGGAACGAGACAGGTGGACTTCTCCACAAATATGGCTGTCGCCTGATGAAGCTGGTTGTAATTACTCCGATTGTAAATGTTGTGGCTTGGCTCTCCAACACACCGGTGTGCTGTACGAGTGACGAATTGGCCACGTTCTGTTTACGCGACAAACCTTACTAGTTGGCTGTGTCGGGTGGTGGCGGGTTTAACGACACAGTTATATATTTACACGATCTAACCCAAAAAAACCTCTATTATGGGTGTATAATCTCGTGAGTTCGACCCCAGATTCTGTGTCTGCGCCCGACAGCTCATCCTCGCCACTATGGGAGTTGACCTGAAACGGTCGAAAAGCTTATTACGATGCACAACAATTCACCACCTCGACAAGTCGATGAACTGTTCCGTGTTTAAATTCCAAATGTATAGATGCGCATTTTGATTAAAGTAGTGGCCCACTCGATTGGCTGCAGGGTTCACGTAAGCGCATTACAAACAATGCATACAAATCACAACCACAGATAGTGATACGAGTTCTTTATTTTTACATCGCTATTTTTTTTGTTAGTCTCCCCCCTCCCACATTGTTTGTGGTTTGTGCTATCGGCATCAGCATCACGATGTGAAGAATTTATTCATAACTCTCGTAGTGCAGCACAATTTCCTCCCCCCACCCTCTCCCCTCTTATCCTCTTACCCCTCCCTCCCCTCCCCTTGTTTGAAAATTAAATCGCCTACAGACATGGATATATCCAAAAAGATATACTCCACGCTCGAGGGCCGGCACGGGGTGCCCTTTCCCACCTGCTCTGCCACCGACGGCAACGTTTGTCATCGCCACGACAGGGTGAATCGAAATTTTTTTTTTGGAATTCTCAGAGCTACAATTGAACAAAATTAAGCTCAGTACAAAATGTATATGTGACCTTTTTGTATGCGTGTGTGTGTTTGTTTGTACAGTTCATTGCTGACCTGCAGCCGAGACCATTAGCCTCGCTCCACTGGAAAATCCGGTTAAAGCACAAAGTGGCTGCCTGGATTAAAAACAATCTGAAGAGCAATATGCACAACTGCGAGTTGGCGTATCGCAGGGACCGCAAGCAAATGCACGGCACCCTTGCACCCTTCGCAGCACGAGAGAAGAGAGGAGCTCCCAAAAACGGATTGTATTGCCCACAAGATAGCGTGGACGCGGAATGAGTTGTTGGAACGAAACTAACGTAAACGCATTTTGCTGAATGTTCACACGGCAATGAAATGCCTCGATAATTATTCGATCCAAAAAAAGGGTGCAAAACAGTGACAGGTATGCATGCATGCATGCTGTAGCCAAGGTAATGACAGGGGTATCAGTTGTGAGTTCGAAGGAATTGGTAGCGACGGCAATGATCGAGAAGTGAGAGTAGAAGTTGACGGAAGAGGACGGTGGAGTCTGCGGGTTGGAGCGAACGTCCAGAGTCAGTGAAAAGGTTCGGGAAGGGCGTCGTGGCCTGGGTTGGTATAAAAGGGGGAGATGCGCGGGAGACTCGGGGCTGTTGCAGTGGGGGGTCTCCGCCTGATGTCAGGTGAACGTGTCTTCAATAAATTGTCATCTCAAGAGAAGTGTGTCAAGTCGTCGTTGCGTTTGTACGAATCAGAATTTATTTTTCACGGATGTCCTCGTTTGACACGGTGTTGAGTGCAATGGTCACCGATAGCTCAGACCCCACCAAAGGAGAGGTTTGCCCAACCGATTTTGCCCATTTGAGCGGAGACCTTTGGAAAGGCCGCCACGTGCTCGCATACTCATTGCAGCAGCTGCCAATGGGAAATCGTCTCCAAGACACAGACGGTTAATTGTGGGGGTCTGCCCGTCACTCAAGGAAACTGTAAATAAATCACCCGAGCAATCTGAGAGTAAAAAAAACACTTTACAGCTGTGTGACTCACTCGTTTTAAGCGTTTGCCCGTCACCATTTTTTTACACAATGGCCACTCGGAGAACGCAACCGAGGTGCGGCTTGCGCTATTTTTCAGAATGTTAGGGCGGCCTTTGCAGGGGGCGTTATCCGCTCGACAATGTTGCCACCTACAAGGTGGGTGCTTGGAAACGACGACTATTGGTGGTGGGTTTTAAACGGAGGGCTGAACGTGGCTTGACCACCTCACGTCAAATATGTAATTCCAGAAAGCCTAGAAATGCTCAAATTTGGCAAATTTTTTCTGTAATTCAAGTCTAAGCTCACAACTGGGAGGACAAAAAAAGCCAATTGTTTTACATTTGGGGGTCCCAAAATTACGACCCACAGGTTGAATGAATTTACACAGAGCAGGGTCAGAGTGAAGTCTTGCATTGCTGTAAGTGTTCGTGATAAGCGCCTAAGAATAAACAATGCACACCATCGGTATTTGGTGTTTGAACATCTTAACACCCGTTTTATTGCCAGAAAGGGTAAAACCTATTACTATTATTATTAGATCATCTTGGATCTGGGAAAAAGGTCCCATTGATAGAAATGAGGTAGTGAAGGTTATCATCATCGTCGTTAGGAAAAATAAACAATGATAACCCGAGATTGTTCCAGTTTAGTGTATACGTTGAGAGGCTTAGGAGTTCCACTGGACAGGAAAAGTTTGAACATGGATCACCGCCAGGTGCTGGATTTGAAAATAGCATTTAAGCAAGAGAGCGAAAGATCTCAACAGACCAAGTGTGTGTCATATAGAATATGTATACGTATCTCTGTACCTAAAAGAGCGTACACACTTCTTTAACCTTGGTCATAAACAATTTGCAATCTTTTTTTACCAGAATCAGATCTGTATTCATACCGGAGGAACCCGATGACCTATAAAGCCCTCCTTTCACGGATGTTCAGAACAACTTCAATTAGCTCCGATGAAACTTCTTTGAAGTATCGAGAGACGTTTGCAAATTTGTTTAAATCTTCACATTATTTCAAACTATTCCTGTGCAGAGGAGACAGCGGTGGCAGTTAATCACGTGACAATGCTGCCCGCCGCCCCACCCATGGCAGCAATGGCCTTCAGTGGCCCGTTTGCTTTGCGCTGGCGGTGTCGCGTTTGCCAGACAGATGCGTCAGCACCCCGTGTCCTCACGTGTCCTCCCGTGTTCCGTGCTCACGCGGGGGTTGGAGACGAGGAAGCAGAGCTCGGCGAAGAGCTGGCGAAGGCGTCCGCGTCCGCGTACCGTCTCCACGCCCTTGGCTCCGCGCTTCAGCAGCGGATTGGTGCCGCCCCACAGCAGCGCAACGGCCGTGAGCCACAGCACACCCGCTAGCACCACGACCACACACACACACACACACGCGCACGCACGCACACATGCATACCCATCAGAATCAGAATTTTTATTTATCCTGGGAGAAATTCCATGAGCTATGAAGCTCTTTTTCACGGATGTGTCCCAGTAGCTTTCACAGATGTCCAGATCAATGGCTATGATCTGTCTGCCTGCGGTGCAGGACGGGAGAGGGGCCGGTTACCGAAACAGACGTTGAAATGATCTCCACGAGTCCGATGACCAATGGGCAGACCTAAGACCAGATGGTGGGATCATACTGTCAGGGCGGATCTTAAGAGGTCGCGGATCTACTGCACAGCAGCTGCAGAATCTGTGGGAGGGTAGAAAGCATTGGCCGAGCTGTGGTGGCATCAATGGATTTGGCCATGCCGACATCTTGACTTTGATCGACTGCTGAATGAAGACCTTGCTCAAGCTGTCACCAACTCTCACGGTCTCGTTATGCAATGATCCACACAACTCCTGCACGTGTGCCGATGTCGTCCCTTTATCTCTACGGCGGCCCGTCTCGGGCGTGTGCCCTTCTTTGGCTGCCAATCGATCGTTCGTCTCAACCACCAGTCACTATCCATTCTCTGGATGTGTACTGCGCCACTCACTTTTTGCAAAGTAAACGTCAACTCTCCAACGTGCGTTTGCTCCTCTCACCGCTTCTTGGTGCTATTTTCAGCTTTTGTTTCATTGTCTTCGCCACAGTCCATGTTTCGGATCCACATGTCACAGCAGGTAATATTAACCCTCGGACGCACACGGACGTATCCATTATTCAGTGGGACTTAAGTTACTTGCCCTACGTGGCTCCGATATATTATTTATGAGATGAGCAACTTGTCTATGCGGGACAGAACCACACACCACTCCCAATGTTAGCCGTTGCTGAAAAGCAAACCAAATCTCGCCAGGTTCACAGCGCTATTACGTCGTCATTATCATCAGCAAAGCGGAGCGAGGAAGTTCCCCTTGTGCCAACCAGTGTCCAGTGTCCACATTCCACTGCAGTCTATTACGAGCACATTCCAAATCCCTGCGCGGCGTTGTCTGCCAAACCCCGTCCATTTCCTCGCGCGATCGAAAACTACTCATAAAGGAGAACGGGCCAGCTAAGAAACGCCTTCGCGGGACGGTCACGAGGTCACACTGCGGCCACGTTCATGTCCCCTTTCCCCATCACGCGGCTACCCGATCGAGACGGCCGAATGACGAATTCACGTAGCGGTGACACGAGCGGTTCACTGTGATGGCAACACTTTACGTGTCTGAAGCGCTCTGACAGGCAGCGTTTGTACCTCTGCAATGAATGACCACGGCATCAGACCAAACCACACAAAACATCACACCACTCCTCCAATCCCCTTGCTGATGGAAATGGAGCGTGCAAGCGTTTCACTCATATAATTGCCACCACTATTTTGTGCATTCAATTATTAACATCAACTTCAATATCAAATGTAACCATACATATCATTATTCCCATTAGCCAATTAGTTGGATTAATTAAGCTTTCTTTAAGTCCAACGAATAAATGAATACGTAAATCTTGATTTGAAGCTTTCGTGACTGCAGGAATTCATATTCTTTTGGTCTTTTGGTAAAGTTACGTTGATAGGTTCAAAGAAAATTGTAATTTTGTTACTTTCTTTGTTATTTTCTTTGAACCTGACTTTACCGAAAGACCAAAAGAAAATGATCAAGTAGTAATAGTAATATAAATTTAACGTACAGCCAGTTGCCTACGATTGAGCGTGTGTAACCGTAGCAGCTTGTATAGATCTCAAGAAGAACGTCGACCATGGCTTTTTGCAAACTGCTGTCTGGGCATGGCCTGACGCGCACGTGCGGTTTAGGGTTCAAACCTCCGAGTTACTCCTGCATCACGTGTACCCTTCTCCTCGCCGACGCCAACTATATGGCGTACGAGGTGCCAACACGCTGCACCGCACGTGGCGATTGCACCCAAAGCACGTGGTGTACGGCGGAAAGATAACCAATGAAACGGTCAATTGGCGTCTCCGAACCAAACTCGTTGCACAATATTTCATTTCAGGTCTCACTTGCTAAAAGTGTCGATGTAATCATGGCGAGCTCTTGCACGGTTGAAGGGAACTGAACTGCGTCCAGATTGCACCTTTTCCTGCTTGACCTGTTTTATCCAGGCTCATTATAGAATATAGAATTTTTATATAGCCATTCACGTGTCTGACAGCGGGTGCATTGCAAATACACCGCCTGTAAACGGTATATTTGGGGCAATGCTAAACTCTGTAAATCTCGGTTTGGTGTTCATAGCCACGGGGGGTCGTCTTTTATTTTCCACCGGTGCATTCGGTATTAGCATCTGCCGTGATTTGTGATTTATTTAAAATGTAAAAAAATCAACATACAAACATAAAAAGCAGGAATGGCCACTTCAACAAGTCTGATGACAGTTTTGTTTACACGTATCTTTCTACACATTCTACACGAGGTATGAGCAGGGCTATAAAAACACTCAGCAGGTTGAGGCACATAGCTCAGGTTTAGCAAGTGAGATTTTTTTGATAACAGCATGGATATTTTAGTCTTCATTCGTTTGAAATCCCCCCCCCCCAACTCCCTAATTACACACTGTGCTTTCCATGTAGACACAGAACACATCAAGGAGAAAGAGGGATATGGGTGGATAGTTCTGTACACAGCTCAATTTGCAATCCAAACAAAAAGACTTGCACCTCTTCTGCACTGCACAACCACAACCAAGCCAGCCCAGCAGGGCTCAGAAGACGCGAGAGATGTTTTCTTTCCTCACTCCCCGAGCTGTCCAGCTGCCACCATCACGTGCAACGAACGCGTTGGGGCTCATGGCTCACTTGTGCAGTGAACAACAAAAAATTGGGCGAAATTGATGCAACGTATAAACACAAAACTTCATCACCCACGCCTCGCCCTGGCCCCTGTCTGGTCCCCGTGTGGTGGTATCAACATTAGCTTAGCTCCCTGGACCTCGACTTCATCATCATCATCATGATCCATCGGCAGATAGCCCGCAGGTATCCACTGCACATTGCGTCATTCGATTCAATTTTCCTCTCTGTCTTGTGCCAATATGCTCAAGTAGTGCCACATCGATAATTGGTTCTTTACCCTTTTATCTGGCAACAAAACTGACACCTTTTTTACGAGAAGTCATATTTGCATAGACCACAATACCTGCAGTCATAATGCAAACAATAGCCTGATTACTAATCTAGTATATAATTACAATCACTCCCCCCTTGAATCTTTGCACCTGATGAGTTAATGAGTTAATGATGACGTCATCCTGCTGCTGCTCTATATAAGAACGGGAGACACAGGAGAGCCTCACCATTCTGGCGAATTGCCCGATGATGCTGGTTGTAATTACCAGCGAAACGTCGTACTCAAATTGTGAATGTTGTTGCTTCAACACACCGGTGGGCTAAAGCAGTGAACTATTTGTCTTTGTCAACGTGACACATTTTTTACTGATTGGCCGTGTCGGGTGGTGGAGGGTTACGACACATTTATAAATAAACGCGATCTAAACCCAAAAATCGTTGATTATGAAAAAACATAACTCTAATAATGTATGCACTATCCTTGAAGTTGATTGGTCCACACCCGAGACAGCTTTCCTTAAAGCCTAGTCTCACATGGATTGGACCAGATGACACCAAAAGGCGCACAACTCAAAGACAATGCACCATCAGAGTATGAGAGCTCAGGGTAAGCATTTACACCATTGGAACCTCATTTGCCAGTAAAAAATATGATAATTGGTTTTTTACCCTTCTATCTGTTTGCATTATGGCTGCAGGTATTGTGGTCTATGCAAAAATGACTCCTCGTAAAAAAGGTGTCAGTTTTGTTGCCAGATAAAAGGGTAAAAAAACAATTATCATATTTTTTACTGGCAAATGAGGTACCAATGGTGTTAGTGCCACATCTTTATGACACCAATAGCTTATGTTGTCAAGCCATTCTCTGTTAGGTCTTCCTCTATTTCCGGTTCTTTCCATTTTTCCGAACAACACACTTTCAATTTTCCTGTTGTTCTCGGTCCGACATGTGTGTTCAAATAGTTCCGGTTTCCTTCTCATCACTGCCTGCAACATCAGGTCTTCTTGTATGTGCTACTTTTTTTCTCACTTCTACGTTGGATACTGGATCCTTCTAAAGTATTGCATTTCGAGTACCAATCTTATCTCTGGCAGTCTTTTTGACGTCCAAGTTTCGCAGGCAGACCTTGGTTTAAAACTGCCAAATCAATCTGATAAGTATAGCCCCACCCACTTATCCAGCTGCCCTTTTTTTTACAATCGCAAAGCTTTAACTGTTCAGATTTAATAACAACGAAAAGGTGAAGAAAATTGTCTGGTGGTCGAAAAAACATCAACGGAGTGGCGGCCATCGGAAGCAACATGCTCGAGAGGATGTTCAACGGTAAGATTGCAATGACAAAATACAATTGTGTGCAGATGTTGTTGCACTTCGGAACCACGAGAGAGGCTTTGGGGAGGCCTTCGTCGAGCAATAGATTGATAGTGGCCGATGACGAGAGTTTTTAGCTGTACGGTTCAAAAACAGCTCTGCAAGTCGTACGTCGCATTTTTTTAAACCAGAGTTGAAATAACCAAGGTAAAACATATATATACACACACTACGGAGTGGTTAGCATCGGGCATGGGTGGCGGCAAACCAGCCAAGAGGAGTAGAGAGAGAGCCCACCCCCATAAAAGTATAACAACCTTGGGTTCCAATGAAACTTAATATGGCCCTAAACTACGATTTCGAAAATACCGCTGCACGTCTGCGAATTGGCACGCGCAAACCTGTTGCAAAACACTGCTGTGAATTACGGAAGGTTCATGGTTTATTGCAGCGTGCATTTATTTGCATACGAATAAAACCGTAACGCAACGCAAACAATGTGGAAGTGTCATAATTGACAAAGTATCATGTGCTGTAATAAAAA